TGTGTGTGTGTGTTTTTTTTTTTTTAATAATCGAACGGTGTGTTCAAAAAGCATCGAGACGTTTTTCTGCCATTGTCACTTCTTGTTCAAGGCTTGTTTTACGTAATATATAATATACAGGATGTCCCATGAGTAGTGATTAATCGACCAGGCTAAAAGTGTATGGAAGGCAAAAAAAACGAGTCTTTTTCATTGAAGCCTCCTGTCCTCGAGAAAATCGAGTTTGAAAATCGAGTACAGTTGAATTCAGCTAATTCTGCAAAACGTGAACAACAGAGAAGCATATATTCGGAATTACGTGCGAAAATTATTACGAACCCTTACGACTATATCTGAGAAAAATTCTGATTCAAATTTTAAATACATATGTAGTTTACAAGAGATTACGAGAAATATCGATCGAACCAGTGTTTCGATTTGTGGAGAATAATTTGTCAATTTTCATCACTCGTACATTTTATGAGATAAGTAAAATATAGAAAAGAAGAAAGCTGCAAGCCTAAAATCGAAGATACAACCGCGAAATTAATCGTCTTAATTAGTTTTTTTTACGAATAAAAGTTTTATCAATCCATGGGCATAAAAACGCTAGCGCCGCGTAGCGGTGAAACGATAGAACTAAAATCTATCGCTGTCCTTGTCGCGCACTGGCGCTCCTTGTCTACGGATGGTGCTGCCATCTAAGCCATCTCATTTTCAACTGGAACTAAAAAGAGAAAAAGGAAAAATCCGACAGATGGCAGCACGTTATCCCTCTCGCTGTCTAGTTCTGAACGTAGAGGTTAGATGGCAGCACCTGGCTTGTTCATAGATAAGGAGGGCAATTTGCAATAAGGACAGCAATAAATTTTAGTTCTACCGATTCACCGCTACGCTGCGCAAGCTTTTAGAGCTTGTGGCGGCGCGAGTATTTAAAAAAGCAAGTTCAGCGACGCTGATTTAAAATGAAGAATAAAGAAAATAAGAAAGCAGAAAATATTTTGTATTCTCAGTTATTAATAATCAATCAAAGCAAACGGTCGTTGTAAAATCTTGTTAAACATTAATATTACTAAGTAATTATTGTAGTTTCTTGTTAAATTTAGTAATATATTTTCCAATCAATGTTATCGTAATGCAAATAAAGTTTCATTTCGAGAAAGTTCAGAATGCTCCTCTTTCATTTTCTTTTTAAAATCCAGCTAAAAGCAGTATTTGTTTAAAAAATTTTATTATTTAATGGAAACTCGCATTAAAAATTACATAACTCGATGAAAACTCGTATGAAAATTATAAAATTTTTGAACTGAAGTCGATGCAAATTGACGACAGGAAAATGAAAGAAAAGAATAATACAACTGAGTCTGAATTAGCTCTTTATTCACACATCGCATCGTATTGTCGTTCATACACGTCCTGTTTTTCTTTATATAAATTCATACCAATTTCATACAGTCCTCTCGCATGACTTGTTACTACTATCCTCTTTTTTTTTAGATTCATCCCATAAACTTCTCACTAAAAATGACTGAAACGCTCTTTATGTACGCTATGTTAGCAACCGCTACGGTCCACTCGTTGATTGCTACGCGCACAACGAAAAACCATTGCACAACACTCGAACGGAGAAAAATCAAAAATTAACGTGTACCTCGGCTCGTAACGAGCTTACAGCGCGTATTTAAAACATAATAATACTTATTATAATTACAAGTCATTTATAATTGTATGTACTGCAAACGCCAATTGCATTGTCTCATGCAGGATGACCCATTAAATTATATGTAAATAAACGCATCTTAAATACAGTAGCTTATAAAAATACAGAGGTATTTCGAAATTTAGTACGTACAATGAGATCTATCGTAACTGAGTAACTAACAATAATTTTAAACAAACTCGAGGATATACACAGAAGTTGCAAGATATTTTATTTATGCATGTATGTATGCACTTTACAGAAATCACAAAAGTGTTTATTACTTTTAATACTTGTTATATGTTTAAAGCAATTCATACTGTAGTGTATAAGTTTGCAATGTCTTGTAACTTCTATATAGACATTTTTGAATTAGTCTTAAATTTTACAGCCACTGTAAATATAATATAGTCAAAGTTGTATTTTATATAAAGTTTCTTCGCATAATTTTGTACATTTTGTTTGTCTTACATGAAAGAGAGAACGCATACTGTTTAAAAAAATTTTAATGACTCTACATAAATTTATTGTAAGAAAATTTTAATATCTACAAGTTTCTTTTTGTAGATAAAGTTAGAAATAATAAAAATAGCCATCCTGCACAGAAAAATAAACACAAGAATACAATATTATAATTTTTTACCGTTTTGTTACCAATTTGAATAAAAATCTACGCAATGCGTCTGGCTCGGTATACGCTGGCTAAATAAACTCTCTAGTGCGACATGGATAGTACATTTCCTTCATATTTTTAGTTCTGAACATTCTATACAATATGTCGTTACTAAAAAGATGAATGAATAATCTATGAATAAACGGAAACGAAATTGATTATACTAGCATCTAGAATTTTCGCAGGTCGTTGGATCATTTTAACATTTGACAAAATTGATAAACTACGCTGCGCTATAAATAGTAGAAGAGTAGAAAAATTTATTGCGAGTTAGTGGACATTGTAGTATGGATTCTAAATTTTGTATTCTTCTTTTTCTTTTTTTTT